GTCTTCAAACCTGGTGGAACAGCACTAGCGTAAACATTTCACCAACTTCTCATCAAAATATGGATTAATGAGGAAGTCCCACCTGACTTAAAGAATGCCAACATTGTGACCATCTTCAAGAAAGGGGACAAGTCAGTATGTGGGAACTACTGAGGCATTGCCATCCTCTCTATTGCTGGAAAGATTCTTACTTCCATCCTTCTGAATTGCCTCCTCCCCCTTGTGGAAGATGTCCTTCCAGAATCTCAGTGTGGCTTTAGAAAATCTTAGAGTACCACCAACATGATTTTTATTGTACAGCTGATCCAGAAGAAGTACAGAGAACAACACCAGGAGCTATTTATGGCATTCATTGACCTAACCAAGGCCTTCAACTCCATCAATCGTGAAGCCTTATGAAAGGTGCTGGCTAGATTTAGTTGTCCGCTGAAGTTCATCAGTGTCCTCCATGATGTGATGACCACCACAGCCCTTTGGAGTAGATCAGAAACAGACCCATTCATACTGGTGTCAAACAGGGCTGTATCATTTCCCCAACCCTTTTTTCCATCTATCTGGCTGTGATTTTGATTCTCATTCGTGACTGCCTTCCCCGCAGAATTGGGGTTGAGTACTGAATAAACAGTCAGCTTTTCAGCCTGCGGCACCTTCACAGCAAAACAAAGGTTACCAAGACTGTGTGGCAGAGCACAAGTTGTTCCTGCCACTTTAAGAGGTTTAGGCAGGCTGTGGAGCAGCCAGCAGGTGCAGTCAGGCCCAATTAGGTAGTCACATGACCACAAGGGGGCCACCGGACTGGATGAGGGCTGGGCAACCAGGGTATAAACCCAGGCCCTGGGAATAGAGCTGGCAGTTACATCTAGGGAGCCAATGGAGTAACATCACACAGTCTGAGGAGAGCAACTCCTAGAACATCTGGAGGTTAAGGGTAGGAACTATGGGGATGAAGGCGGTTCCTTCTGGTCCTGGGTAAGTCCTGAAACTACACACTGTGGGGGTTGGATGGTGGGGTGGGACCACCTGTGGTGGCGCAGTCCCTAGGAAATGCCACACCTGTGCCTCCCCAGTGAAAGGCGAGGATGAACACCATGAAACCTCAGCCCCCATGCCTTGTGGGTACCCCATGGAGGGGAAAGGCTAGGGGAGCACACCCAACAGAAAAGCACAGGTCCCAGGTCCACTGAGGGGGTCTTGAGGCAGGGTCCAGGCCCATAGAATGGGGCCTGAGACAGGGCCCAAGGCCCACTGAGTGGGGACTGAGGCCCAAGGGGTGTAAGGCTAAGTAGCCCAGTGAGGGGCGGAGTAGTGGCCCACTAAGGGATAGAGAGTGGCCTAGAGAAGGGGCCAGGAGGCCAAGGCCCACACAGTGGGGCCTGAGGCCAAATCTGGGGCATAGGCTTAGTGTGACCCAGCAAAGGGGAGTTATGGTGATTTAGAAACTATCTGGAAGGCATGGGAGATGGTGTACAGGTGGTTTGGAGCCATGTATTTGGCCCAGTACACCAGGGCCACAATTAGGGCAGCCTCCTGCATTTAACCACAATTATTGTAACATCAAATGCATGGCAGGCGAGTCAGGGCAGACTGCCCTAGTCAGGGGGCATCCCTATGACATGCGTGGCTCAAGGGAGGAGCTTGCAATTGCCACCCCTGCTGCAGACTGGCATCACCGACCTTCAGTATGCTGAAGACTGGTTATCCTCATGTACACTGAGACTGATCTGCAGCTCAGGTGCCTATCTCAGCCTGGGGCTCTCCCTTAACATTGGGAAGACCAAGGTGCTTCATCAGCCTGCCCCAGCACAAGCTGTCCTCCTCCCCCCCACAAATTACTGTTGCGGGGGGTAAACCCCTGGAAAACGTTGAGCATTTCCCATACCTTGGCAGTCGCATCTCCCATTCAGTCAGTTTCGATGTAGAAATTGAACATAGGATTCGCTGTGCCAGCGTATCCTTCAGAAAGCTGCTTCACCGTGTCTTTGCTGACCACGATCTGCAGATGGAAACTAAGATCCTGGTCTTCAATGCAGTAGTAATCCTCACGCTCCTCTACAGGTGTGAGACATGGGTGACATATTGAAGCCTGGAATGGTTCCATCCATGTTGCCTCAGCAATATTCTTTGCATTAGATGGGAAGACCACTGCATCAATGCCAGCATCCTCTCTGCAGTTAACATAACCAGCATTAAGGTAAAGATCATGAAACATCAACTCCACTGGGCTGGCCACTGTATGCAGATGGCTGACACTTGTCTCCTGAAGCAAGTCCTCTTCTCTCAGCTTAGTCATGGTAAGAGGACCCACAGAGGACAGAGGAAGTGCTACAAGGACACCCTAAAAGCAGTGGCATAGCGATGGGGGGGGGCAGGAGGGGGTCATGGCCCCAGCACTGGCCTGTGGGGGGAGGGGGTGTCGGCCAGGCCGAGAGGCCGCAGCGCCTCCCGGATTTGGTGTGTGGCCCGCCTTCCTGCCTGGCGGGTTGGGCATTTGTTTAGCTGTCATGAACGGAAGTTCTGGTCCACGGCGTCCGGTGTGCCGTGGTGTCAGTTTTGCCATGGAAGTGCCATGGGGCAGGAGAGGGGGCACCGCGCCCTATTCGGATCATCCCCCGGGCACTGGAGACTGATGGTACACCACTTCCTAAAAGCATACTGTAAGAAGCGGGGCATCAACCCTACAAATTGGAAGTGCTGGCTGGTAACAGGTCTCAGTGGTGCTGCACCATACATCAAGCTACAGCCCACTTGAAAGAGAACCGTCTTACTCAGGAAGCTGAGAAATAGCAGAGGAGGAAGGAAAGTGCACAACATCCTGGCCAACAGTTGTGCCCCCACCACCCCCCAGGCACCACTTGTCATATCTGTAGAAAAACTTGCAGAGCATGGTTGAACTTCTATGCCACCTTAAAACTCACCAGTAATCATCCTTTCAGACTTCATCTTTGTATCAAGGGGTAGTCGATGATTTACCCTACCAACAGAAATTCCCTCTCAGAAATGGGTATTTGTGTTTCTAGTATCACAGATACAGGTCTTCTGCTTTCAAGTACTAATAAACATTCTTGCCAGAATAGCAGCCTTGCTTAAGGAGGCTTTCTGCAAGTTTAGTCCAAAGTCTTAGCACTTGCAGGTGTTAATGATCTCACCCTCTCAGGGCTGGAATCCAGAAAGGCCATCTTGATACTGTGGGGTGCTTGGTAGCCGTGTTTTTCTGAGACAAAAAGACATACAAAAAACTAGAACTCTTGGTTCCAAAATGATACCTTTTCTTAGACCAACTGGAAAATGGTTCTTGCCATTTTCCAATTGGTCTAATAAAAGGTATCATTTTGGAACCAAGAGTTCTAGTTTTTTGTATGTCTTGATACTGTTGCTCTTTCTGGTAAGATTTTTTTTAACTTCAAGTGCCAGGGCTGCTGCTTTGGAATTGGAGGGAGCTAGCTCCAGGCCCTTCATCCTCCTGGAAGCAGAGGGAAGAACACAAAATGCAACGAAAGGTGTTTTTGTCTTGTTGTTTCAGGCCTACGAAGTATTTTGCTCTTCAGTTGGGTGAGGTTGTAAGTCAGGAGTAGAGCATTGACCCTTACAGAAAAAGAATTTAAGCTGCACTGTTATTTTCTGGGCTGAAATTTGATAATTAAGCAAATATTGCATGCCTTTGCCTTGGGTGAGCAGCATGAGGTAAACAGGAAGGAATGAGGGATTAAGATGTCTCTCTTCTAAAGGAAGGTGACAAGCCAAGAGCTGTGACACCTTTGCACAGAACTGAGAGGCCCAGCTGTGGGGCTGCATTGTTCAGTGGTGTAGAGCAAATAAAAGCAAAGGGAAAAGAAAACAAGCTATAAAATTCCCCGCAAATCACACAGCTCTTGCAACTGCTGCTTGATGTTTCTTTGACAGCTCTGAGGAATGGCAGGAGAAGGGCTGAGCTTTTGATGTTCCCTCTTCAGTTTTCTTTTGCAAAGGCCCTTGTTAAAATAGCCTCTGTGTTGACATTAGGTTGCATAGGGCAGAGAGATCGGGCAACTCCTGGCATGTTCGGTCATGGTGTAATTGTCAGTTGAGAACACTAGCTCTTATTTACTTAACATGGTGCCAGATTGACCAAAGCCCTGCAATGAGTAGAGAATGGTCAGCAAGGAGAACAGAAGGCAGGGTAGATTTGCACCTTATACACTCATTAAATCAGAGAGGCATAGCATAGGCTTTCATAAGAAGCAGACTTACTTCATCAAATGGCTGTGAAGGGATCACAGGAAGTCCCATCACAGCATCTGATGAAGTAAGCCCACTGCTTACAAAAGTTTATGCTATGCATCTCTAATTTAGTTAGTCTACAAGGTGCAAATGTACCCTTCCTTCTGCCTGATTTCCAACGAACATGTCAAACTGCCTCTGCTCATGGATAGCAATGATGAGGGAGTATTTAGGTTGTCTTGTTTTGAGTGACAGATATGAAGTACTCAGTGATGCTATGGACACCAAACCAGCGAAGGAATAGTAGGGAAGAATATTTGAGAGAAGTAAATTAAATCCTTACTTAGGCTAGAGTCACATCTATGCCAAGTGGATGTATCAGTGTATGTGTGTGTGAAAGTGCATATTGAAGAGAAGAACCCATTTCTGATGCTTTAAAACTGGGATAGAGTTGGAAGGAGTCTTAGCTTAGAAATACACCAAAAACTTACTGGTGAATTGGACTCTCCCAGGAAGGGGGACTTGACATATTCTGTATCTAGTACTGTACAGTGAAAAAGACATAACAGTAGTTTTCAAACTCCTTAGACCAACTGATTCTTATTCTCCCTTAAAATTTCTTGTGGGCCAGCATCACCCTTATCCTCAAACTTGGTCCGTGACATGTTGGAAGCTACTTTCACTATGATCAGGAGTAAAAAGGACCGAGAGTAACAGGTTGGGGTGTGGCTTTACATTGTCTCATGAAACCATTTACCACAAGGGGCAATGTTTCTGCTTTTGTCTCCTTTTCCACAGCTTGTAACTGCAATCTTCATGCACGGAGGTGCCGCTTTAATATGGAGCTCTACAAGCTTTCAGGCCGCAAGAGTGGAGGGGTTTGCCTGAATTGTCGACACAACACAGCAGGCCGCCACTGCCATTACTGCAAGGAAGGCTTCTATCGGGACCTAAGCAAGCCAATATCTCACAGGAAAGCATGCAAAGGTACACAGTGAAAGGGTCTGGGGGAAGGGCTGGGATACTGTAAAGATCTTTCTTCAGTTGCCTTCCTGTTTGCTCTATTCTAAACATCCAGTTTAAAAGGTTATTTTCACTCTACCCTGTCAAAAAGGCTGTACCAAAACAAAGTACACCCTTACCTTCTAACCCTTTCTTTCCTTCCTTGCTTCATTCCTCATAGCCACATTCATGAGACCTGCCCAAAGTTGGGCATTTAGATGGGGACTGAGATATTTTTCAGTATAAGTTTAAAGGAGATGTTTTAGGGTCAGATTTTTTTAAAAGATCGGTCTCTTGTACCTGCCATTCAGAAGGTATAAAGCCGCAACTGTCTGATCAGCACGTATAAAAATCTGCTTATTTGAAATCACAATTGCAGAGTTAGAAAACTGAAAAATCTGACCCTCTTAAAAAAATTGTTTATTCATCCTGTTACAGTCTAACCAGCAGCCATGTGCATGCATGCACAGGTGCGCGTACACACACAGACACACAGACACAGACACACACACACTACTCTCACAACTGTTCAGTCATTTTGAGCTGCTATTCAGAACACACGTGGCCAGGCAAGCAAAAAAAAAAAGAGATGGAAAAGAAAACTCAGACAAAGGAGAAGAAAGACAAAGGTGTGAACAGATTGCCAGGGTTATTCAGATTAGCAAATGGGGATCTCACATTAAAAAGCAAATCTCTGCTTCCCCCTCTTCTCACAGGTGTGCATACCAGCAAACAGTGGTCTCCATTCAACAGGCTTAGCATCTGGGAGAAGAAAGGTTATTTCTCTGATGAACACATATAGACATATATCTCCCATACACAGACAGATCTCAAGCATTAGGGGGAAAAAGGAAAAGAGAACATTCAATCCATGTACAAACAGCTTTACTCTTCTGGACAAAATAATAACAAAAAAAAAGTGGGGGTGGAGATCTATTGAGGCGTAGTGAACCAGTTTAGTTTTCCAGATGTTTTAATTTTCTTCATCAATGGAAGTAAAACAAGCATGGGGGATACAGGGTTTAAGACAAAATGCAAGGGGTTCACAGAGGTTATAGGGAGTTCTGCTGAATTCTCTCCTAAATGTTACTACTCCAGCTGTTCACAGTCAGGAATATAATTATTGTGCCCCCACACCAACAAGGTGTATTCAAATGTCCTTTAGTTTGCTTTTGAATTTTTTTTGTTGAGATCCAGAGATTAGTATCAGTAGCAAAACTTGTGGATGACTTTTCTCCGTTGTGAGTGGGAATTGCGGCTACATGCAGTAGGGGAAGTACTGGAATAGTAAAATCTTAAGGGTGCCAAGTGAAAGGGAACAAGGTATATGTGAGAACTCAGCACATCCAAGGAAACTTGGGTCCAAGTGGATTCTCACGCTCTCAGGATTTATTTGTGTAGTAGGTCCGGGTCGGTTACCACATGACATTGTTCGCATTATTGTTGGATAAGACTCCCCAGCACCTCACGTTCTGCTTTCCCTTTTTCATTTGTGTTTAAAACAAGACCTAATTTTAAGCGGTTGATCTTACCCTGTTTTGTATAGTTCTCAGCTTCACTGTTGAGAGAAAAATGCATTATGGACATAAACCACCCCAGTCATCTCAGCAAAATACACGGCCAGTCGGCAGAGGCTAATTAGTAGAGATGCAGAGAAAATGTTGGGATTTTCCTTGCAGACAGTTTCAATTTCTTGTTGAAAAAATGAAAAATATTTAACAAAAAAAATTAAAGTTTTGGGCCAAATATTGTAGTTGCTTAGTTTTGGCTGAAAAGTTTCCCTTTTTTTTTTTTCTTTGCTTTGCTTTTCTTTTTACAAAAACTCTTTTTTTTTTTCTGTGGAAAGCATAACCTTATACCAAAGGACAATCGTTTAATCAAAAACACAAATTTTCCATTGCAAAACAGTTGTAATGGATTTTTTTTCAAATGACCCTGCCATCAAGAATTTCTGGAGTCTTAAACAGCTGGGATTTTGGCAGAGGAGAATACAGGTGGAGTGAGAGTGGCCTTGAAAGTAGTCCAACTTTTTGAACAGGAATGGCCTTCAAAGAGAGGAAAGTAGTTCAACATCATTACTTGGACACAGCAAAGGCAGGGAGAACAGGAAGACCAGAAAAAATCCAGCCTAGGATGGGAAAGCAGCTTGGAATAGAAACCTTTTAATATTTTTCAAGCTGCTCAATGGCCCCAAGAGAAGCAACTCAAGTGATTGGTAAATTATTTGTGGAGCACAGCCGTGCCTTGCCCTTAATGATCTGAGTGGATATGGTTTGCAATTCAGTTCATATTTTTTATTTCAAGGCAGGGTCCCAGTCTAAGTAATAATGTGTTAGATGGAAACAAACAAAGGAAAATTCTGATCACATGGTCTTTCCTAATGAAAATAGGAGGGGAAAAAGAGGTGCAGAGAGACAGAGAAAGAGTGTTTCATCCGTATTTGGATCAAAAGAGCATATATAAACCTTGTTTCAATGTTGTTTGACTTGTGATCACATACTCCAGACATTATTTTCATTTACACTCAGGCCTTTTACACCATTCTGACACGGTAATTGGGCTGCAACAATGGATTTGATACAATTATACCTACACCAACAATAAAGCACTGCCAAAGTATAAAGAGATCTTAGCATAATTGAGAGTCACAGCCTCTGATCTGCATTTTGCAGTTAACTAATTCTGTAACCCCTATCTGCATATCTGTCCTGTTGTCTAGCCCCAGTTCTGCCTCTGTCTGGCAGCTCCAACTCTGCCATCCTTGCCACTCTTAGGATTCTTCTCCCCCTTCCATGTAGGGAGGTAGACCTGGCTGGAGGATCCAGACCCCCTTGTCCCCATGCCTGTGGTTGCAGGGTAAAGGAGGAGTAGAGAGGATCTCATGAATAATTTACAAGAGGAGACAGAGAAGGTAGGAGCAGAGCCATCCTGACATGTTTATGGTTTCTTCCTTTCCCCTCTTGTGAACCTAAGGTCTCTTTCCCCATACCCAATAACTTTTATCATCCCTCAAAAGAAGAGGGGGAGCTTTGCCTGCTACATGCAGCAGCTATGATTGGCTACCAGGAGGGGAGGGAATGATGATTGATGTTGGTTTCTGCACTGACACAGAAGAGGGTGTAAAACCCCCAACCTCGTGCAGCATCAGCAAGTGTAGGCTTGCTAGCAAACTTTGCAGTTCTCAAAGAATACAAAGAAGCACGAACAGATGAGCCACCATGCATTCATCTTTCAACCTCAGGTACAAGGGAGTCTAAAATCACTAGAGCACAGCAGCCACACTTTGTTCCATGCAAACTTCTAGTGTTCCTTTGCATCACAGGCTGCAAGAAGGGACAGTAGGGGCATTCCTCTGGGTTCACACCTACTAGGAAACTTCTTTGCACCATGAGTTTTTTATGAGGGTGTTTGACCCTGCATACCTAGAAGAATTATTTTATATACATTACACACATTTCTACCCTGCTCAGGAGTATAGGGCTTTTTATCTATATGTTATTGGTTTAGAACCCCCCAAAAAATCAAGTTTGGGTTTTAAAAATCCCATAAGCATGGTCTTGGACTCTTGTTTGAACAGGTACCTAATAATGACACTCACCCACACAAAGGCGCCTTGACAACACAGAATCTCAAACTCACCCACTCCAGGATTACACCCCAGTGCAGGACAGTGTCGACAAGACAGAATCTGTGTCTTTTAACTTCCACGTAGCTACTAGTAGATGGCAGTACCTTTCCCAGCTAACTGCAGACAACCCAATGCTTGTTTCATGGAGTGCTCAGGCCATGCTGTGCACCCCACACTCATTTTCTTTTTGTCCCCACTGTTTTCCAGTGCTTTCCTTTACTTACTGCTCTTCCCTCTTCATCTCTCCTCTACACATCCTAAAATCCTACTTCTGAAAGGATTCACCCTGCAATCTGGTTATTTTACCCCTTCTATTACCCCTTCAATTTGCTTGAAACCCCTAGTAGCTTGCAACAGAAGATCATGGGATTTTACCACATCAGTGGGGTTGAGGCTGAAGCGTCTAAGTGACATAGGTGCTGTATAAAACTTTCCCCAGGGTGCATATTTGTGCTGAAAATTCAGTCCAAAGTATTATGACGCTTTAGTTGGTGGGAAGGAGCTATTCTAGATGGGTTTTTTTCCTGTGGGAACCAAGTCTCCTGGCCACATGTGATTTAATCACAGAGGAACCAGAGTATTCCCTTCTGATCAACCTGAGCTTAGTCCTAATGCATCAGGTTTCCAGTCCTAGAACATTAAAGGCCCGAATAAAACACTGCTTCCACTAAAGTCTGTGGGAGCTTTGCAGTTGCCCCTGGTTGAACAGGATTGAATTCCATCAATCAAGAGTCATGCTGCTTTTATGAGCCCAGCTATGAGCAAAAAAAGGCTTTTGGTGGAACATCACTTAGGGCCCAGTAGGAGTTATACTCTGAGCACTTCTTTCCTTCCCCTTCTAATGCTCTCAAAGGCCTGTAGTCGGTGAAATATGGCCTAAATCAGTAAGTCGCCTTTCTTATGACTGCTTGCTGTTGATATGCTGGTATCAGACTGTTCTAAGGGAGCTGACTATTAAATCTGTGCTGGTAACTATCCCATCTCGAAACAAATATTTTTTGCTAATAGGTTGAAATTGCTATGACAACTACTTTACCTTTTTATACCCTGCAGAGGGCTTCTCCAAGTCAGGGGAGACTTGATCGAGCAATGTCCCACTGCTATTGATGTACCATTTTTATGCCTGCCAAACTAGCAACTTCTACAAGCATTAAAGGTGAACTTCATTGTTGTGCAGAGGGACAGCATTATCCCCCTGCATCTCCACTATGCTAGTGCATGTATCTTGTGCTCTCTTTAGCATGGCAATAAAAGTCATACTGGGGAAGACTTATCTAATGGTTAGTGCACAGGTTTGGAAGGAAGGAGACCTGTGTTCTCTCATCCTTTCTCTTCCTCTAACTCACTGTGTGACTTT